CCAGCAGCTGCTGAGGAGCCCAGCCCTGTGTCCCTGTGTCCCTCTGTCCCTCTGTCCCTCTGTCCCTGGGCCAGCAGGAGAAGATTCCACCACGGGAGCAGATTCCAGTTTTTCTATTAAAAGCTCCAAACCCCAGAGTCAGCTCCTCCCCCAGATCCAGAGATTAAAAAACAAAAAACCAATAAAAAAGTCACATTTCTCTGCTGGCTGTGTGCATTTTTGAACTCGTGCTCTTCATATTTCCAACCACAAAAATCCCAAATCCTCGTGCTTTGATGGAGATTTTTTTTAAGCTGAAAACATCACTGGGGGCTGTGGAAAACTCCAGGGCTGCTGAGACCAGACTGAAGCACAGCCAGGGCTGAAATGGGACCTGGGCTCAGCGTGGCATCTTTATTTTCTGTTTCACCTGGCTGGCACCCCTGGCACTGCCCTGCTGCTGGCAGAGCCATCCCAGCTGGGGCAGGGGACACTCAGGGATGTCCCAGCACACAAAAACACCCAGCAAAGCCCAGGCTGGGCTAAGGAGATTATCAGGATTAACCACGGTGCACAGAGATGTTTACAATTATTATTAGCTCCAAAATCTGCCCCAGCAGAGCGGCCCAGGCACTGCCCATCTGTTGTTTGACAGCTGCTTTTGTTCCTGCCTGCACCTTAAATTCCGTGTTCTGCCACAGCCAGGCTGGGAGTGACACCAGCAGCAGCAAAATCTGCCCCTGGGGATGCAGGGGAGGGGGAAACAGCGGGGAAAAGGGACAAAAACCAGCTTGGAGGGAGAGAAATCCCATCCTGAGTGCAGCAGCACAGCAGTGCAGGGCAGAGGCAGCCCCGGGGGGTTCCTGGGGGACTGAAGGGAGGCTGGCATTGGAACACAAAAGTGCCACACCGTGCCTTCCTGCACAGCCTTTTCCCTGGAACCAGCCCCAGCGGGAGAGAAGCCCGAGGGCAGTGCAGCAGAACCTGCAAAACACAGAAAATCCAGGCTGTGGAAAGGGACAAAAAAACAGCTTGGAGGGGGAGAAATCCCGTCCTGAGTGCAGCAGTGCAGGGCAGAGGCAACCCCGGGGGGTTCCTGGGGGACTGAAGGGAGGCTGGCATTGGAACACAAAAGTGCCACACCGTGCCTTCCTGCACAGCCTTTTCCCTGGAACCAGCCCCAGCGGGAGAGAAGCCCGAGGGCAGTGCAGCAGAACCTGCAAAACACAGAAAATCCAGGCTGTGGAGCTTGGCTGCTGCTAAAATGAGTGTTTGGTGGCAAACCTCAGCTCCCATCTCCAGCCTGGTGCTTCCAGGCCATCCTAGCTCTGTCCCTGGCTGTCCCAGCACTGTCCCTGCCCATCCCAGAAGTGTCCCAGTCTGTCCCAGGCCATCCCAGCACTGTCCTTGTGTGTCCCTGCCCATCCCAGCAGTGTCCCTGCCCATTCTTGCCCATCCCAGCACTGTCCCTGTCTGTCCCTGGCTATTTCAGCAGTGTCCCTGCCCATCCCAGCAGTGTCCCAGTCTGTCCCAGTCCGTCCCAGTCCGTCCCAGTCTGTCCCAGGCCATCCCAGTCTGTCCCAGCCCATCCCAGCAGTGTCCCAGTCTGTCCCAGGCCATCCCAGCAGTGTCCCTGTCTGTCCCAGTCTGTCCCAGTCTGTCCCAGTCTGTCCCTGGCCATCTCAGCACTGTCCCTGGATGTCCCAGCACTGTCCCTGCCCATCCCAGTCTGTCCCAGTCCGTCCCAGTCCGTCCCTGCCCACCCCAGCAGGGAAGGGGCTCAGTGATGCTGGAGCTGCTCCCTCCTGCACCCTCAGCAGCCCCCGGCACACTCAGCTCTTTTTTGGGCAGTATTTGATGCTGTCATATTTATAACGCCCTTTCTCCATAGATTCCCAAGGCATGTTAACTGACTCATTAACAACCTGTTAATGACTGCGCTAATTGGAGTCCCGAGCATCAATGAGATTTGCGGGCTGCAGAGAGGGCTGGGTGTCATTCGGGCTGGGGGAGCTGAGGTGATTCCTGGGCTGAGCCGGGGGGGATTTGGGGGTCCTGGGGACAGGGACACCCCCTTGCCAAGCTCTGCCGAATCAGGGCCAGCAAATGCCAAGGAGAGCCCGTTTGGAGTCGCTGGGGCTCTTTCCTCCTTAATGAAATGTCAGAGAAGGGAAATGTCAGCACTGGGTGTTTTTATCACCCAGGAGGGAGACAGAGCCCGCTCCGCCGTTTTTTGGGGTCTGACACAGTGGAGGGAGCTCACATTTCCCTCGGGATCGCCTCTCCCCACCCCAGAGCTGCTGATTTGCCAGAGATGCAAAGAACGCTTCGCTGAGAGCACGAGGAGAGAGCAAAGCCCGGCTTTGCTGCCTTCGTTAATTAAATCCTGCAGCAAACGAGCAGCCAGCCGCCCTCCTGCCACCGGCCTTGGGCTGCGAGTTCCGTGTAAAGATCGCTCCGAAAAATTCAGGGACAGCTGGGAAAACATCAGCAGCACAAAAAAAAAACAAACCCAAAAAAAACCGCAGGAATTTCCCCGAAATGCAGAAGAATCCCTGAAAAGCGGCGTTGGTCTCATTGTGATGCGAAGCAGCCGGGATTCCTCCGTGTTTCCTGCAGAAAAAAGGGATGGAGCTGGAAATTCCTGAGTTTGGGAGAGCTGGGAATGCCCCGAGGTGGGGATAGGGGACGATAATCGCGACAGGGATGGCTGCAGCCGGGGCAGCCCAGGAGAGCCAGCGAGGAGCTTTCCCCAAAACCTCTGCGGGCTCGGGACTGCGTGAAATAAAAATAAATTCAAAATTTGGACTTTGCTTCCCTGGTCCTCAGGGCCTGCCTGTCCCGGGGTTCCTCCCCTGGAGGAGAGCCGGGGATCCCACCCGGGAAATGGGTGTGGAGCAGCACTTTGCAGCTGCCTTCCTATTTTTATTTTATTTTTTCCCCCCCCAAAACAAGGACATTTTAAACTCCAGCGCTGACTTCCTGGGATGGACTCAGTGGGAAACTGCCCTGGATGAGGCAGCAGGGCCGGGGGCTCTGCTGTGCCCTTTGGGGGACACCCCAAAAGCAGCTGCAGGGCCAGGACGGGGTGGTGGCAGCTGAGACCCTGTGGAAGGAGCAGGGTGGCATTCATTCAGGCACTGATAAATGCAGAATTCGGGAGGTAAATCCACACCTGCAGCCGGAATTCATGGCTCTGCCGGAGCTGGGCAGGGGCTGGAAGCAGGAGCCCCGCAGGGCTGAGCTCATCCGTGATTTACAGAAACATTTAAGCCTGGCTTAAACCCCTGCCGCTCCCAGGTCTGGGCGGGAGCTTCCCGTGAGCAGAGATGCTCACAGAGGGTTTTGCACCGGGCAGGGGCTGTGCAAGGGCTTCAATTTGTTCCTTACACAGCGATTTTTGCGGGATTTTTGGGGGATTTTTGGTGTTTGCCTGCTCTGAGCTCCGGGAAGTTTCTCCTTTCAAGAGTTGTCAGCGTGCCCAGCTCACCCTCGTGTGCTCAGATTCAAACCAGGCACTCAGTGGGGACAGAGCCGTGGCTCCATCCCAGTCCAGACCGGGATTTTTGGGGTCCCCCTCTGGTGTCCCAGGGACAGGAACTTGGTGTGACTGCCCTGCCTCAGCCCCCAGCTACAAACCCAGAGTGAAACGTTCAATTTGAGCAAAAAAGGGGATTTTCAATGACACAAATGTCTCTGTCAATAATAGGCTTTGGGAGGCATTACTGTCCAAATCCCAAATTTGGGGTTTAACCTCCTCATTATGATCCTTTAATTTCAGAAAGCCTGCAAGGACTTTAATCTTCCATTCAATTCCGTTCAGAGCAGGCGGCGACACGCAGGGTGACACGTGCCCAGGCAGGACATCCCGATATCCCAGCCCAGCCTGGGCCACCAAACCCCTCCTGGGGCAAACTCAACTTTTTTGGGGTCACCTGGGCGTGGAGAGAGCGGAGGGGGTTCCTTACCCCGAATTTGGGTGGGGAAAGGGGGGATCCCTGCAGAGCTGCACCCCCCAGGCGTGTGGAGGAGGGATTTGGGGGCAAGATCCGTGGGGAGAAGCAACCCCCGAATTTGGGGGGCACCCACAGCCCCCGGGTGTGGCTGGGGCACGGTGTCCCCACAGTGCTGTCACACCTGGGGGACCCTGAGGAGTTTTTGGGGACCCTGCAAGGCTTTAGGGTCCCTGCAGAGCTTTGGGAACTCTGCAGAGTTTTGGGGACCCTGCTCAGTTTTAGGTCCCCCGAGGAGCTTTGGAGGACCCGTGGAGTTTTGGGAACCCTGCACAGCTTTAGGGAGCCCGAGGAGCTTTGGGGACCCTGCACCAATTGAGGGTCCCTGCAGAGCTTTGGGAGCTCTGCAGAGTTTTGGGAACCCCACACAACTTTAGGGACCCCGCACAGTTTCTGGGTCCCCGCAGAACTTTTGGGACCCCGAGGATATTTGGGGAGCCGGCATAACTTTCGGGACCCCACACAACTTTCAGGACCCCACACAACTTTAGGGACTCCACACAACTTTAGGGACCCCACACAACTTTCGGGACCCCACACAACTTTAGGGACCCCGCACAACTTTAGGGACCCCACACAACTTTAGGGACCCTACACAACTTTAGGGACTCCGCACAACTTTAGGGACCCCACACAACTTTCGGGACCCCACACAACTTTAGGGACCCTACACAACTTTAGGGACTCCGCACGTGACACCTGGGGGGGCACAGCTTTCGGGACCCCACACAACTTTAAGGAGCTCCGCACAGTTTTGGGGACCCCGCAGAACTTTTGGGTCCCTGCGGAGTTTTGGGGACCCCGCACAACTTTTGGGTCCCTGCGGAGTTTTGGGGACCCCGCACAACTTTAGGGACCCCACACAACTTTCGGGACCCCACACACTTTTTGGGACCCCGCACACTTTTTGGGACCCCGCAGCGCTTTGGCGCCGCGGGGGTGTGTGGGCGTGGCGCAGGGCGTGACACGCTGACGTCACAGCTCATTTGCATGGCCCCGCCCCCGGACGCGGTCAGCGCTGGCGCCGCAGGAAAGTTTGCGTTGGGGCCGGGCCGGGCCGGGCCGGGATGGACGCGCTCAAGTCCGCGGGCCGGGCCCTGCTGAGGAGCCCCAGCGTGCACAAACCGCCCTGGGCCGGCGGGCGGCACAAGAGTGAGAGCCGAGCCCCGCATCCTGCCCCCGCACCCCGCTCCGCACCCCGCACCCTGCCCCGCACCCGCCCGGTTGTGTCTCCCTGTCCCCCCATCCCCGTGTCCCCCTGTCCCCGTGTCCCCCTGTCCCCGTGTCCCCCAGCCCGGGCCAAGGGCCGGAGCCCTGCGGGCACTTTGTGACCTCGTCCCGCTGCTGGCTTTGTCACACGATCGATGGCCCCGTGGCGAGCGGCCACCGAGCCCTGCCAGGCGCCCGGGGGGGCCACCCCGCACCCCCCAGGCGACACCGAACTGGTGGCTGTCGCTGATCCGATGGCACCGATGGCGGGTCACACCTGGGATCGGGGATGGGCAGCGGCAGGACACGAACGGGCTGGCCTGGGGACATCGGGGAGGGGCTGTGTGACACCTGGGGGGGCTGTGTGACACCTGGAGGGGCTGTGTGACACCTGCAGGGACTGTGTGACACCTGGGGGAGGGCTGTGTGACACCTGGGGGAGGGGCTGTGTGACACCTGGGGGGGCTGTGTGAACCCCTCGGTTCCCAGGTGTGCCAGGTGAGACCCCCGCCCTCCGGCACCCCCTGGGTGCCCTCCCAGCCCTGCCCAGGGCTCAGCTGGCAGAGCTGGCAGGGTGTTGGTGGTTTATCCCGTCCCTGAGTCACCGGGGGCAGTGTCCCCAGTGTCCCCAGGGTCCCCAGCCCTGCAGTGTGCTGGGAGCTCTGCAGTCCCCCAGCCCTGCAGGGGCCCCTCGGGGATGTTCTGTCTGTCCATCCCTGCCCAGGGCTGGGGTTTTGCCTCCTGCTCAGGGCAGAGCCTCCTGCAGCACCATCCCAGGTGAGTCCTGGGTGGGATTTGAGGTTTAGGAACCCCCACGTGCCTTTCACCTTGGCCCCACACCTATCCCTGTTTTCAGACCCCTCCTTTCCCCCCCAGCTCCTCAGGGAAGCGTTCCGTGGTGGTTCCAAGGGCAGAGCAGAGAGCTCTCCTCCCGGGGGGCTCCGAGGGGCTGTGGGGGATGATTTCCCTCACCTGGGTGCCAGCAGCTGCCCGGGCTTAGCAGCAAATCCCAAATCCCGTTTTATCCTCCTTGTGCAGGTGCTGCTGTGCAGGGTCAGGGCAGGGGGTGGCACCGAGGTGGCTCCTCAAGGATTGCTGCTGTGGCTCGTGGGAAATGTTTTGGGGTTTGTTTTGCTGCCTTGGGGAGCTGCAGGGGAGGCTCCCAGGCGAGCAGCTCGTGGCTGAAGCACTGCTGTTCCTCCTCTCCCAGCTGGGTCCCTGCCCCATCTCCTGCTGCAGGCTCCCAGCAGCTGAGGCTCGGGGGTGCTGCTGTGACTTTGTGACCCCCAGAGCCTTCCCTGTGTCCCCAGAGCTGCCTGAGAACTGGACAGACACGCGGGAGACGCTGCTGGAGGGGATGCTCTTCAGCCTCAAGTACATGGGCATGACCCTGGTGGAGCAGCCCAAGGGAGAGGAGCTCTCTGCAGCCGCTGTCAAAAGGATTGTGGCCACCGTGAGTGTCCCCTGCTGGCCCCGAGTGGCCCCTGCTGGCCCCGGGGGAGTCCCACGGGGAAGAGTTTCAGAGCTGCAGCTGGGGGGGAGCCAGGATTGCAGCTCCAGGGGTTTGGGACTGCAGCTCCAAGGCATTGGGATTTTGCAGCTCCTGGGGTTTGAGATTTGCAGCTCCAGGGAAATTGGGGATTGCAGCTCCAGGGGAATTGGGATTGCAGCTCCAGGGGAATTGGGATTGCAGCTCCAGGGGAATTGGGATTGCAGCTCCAGGGGAAATTGGGATTTGCAGCTCCAGGGAAATTGGGGATTGCAGCTCCAGGGAAATTGGGGATTGCAGCTCCAGGGGAAATTGGGATTTGCAGCTCCAGGGAAGTTGGGATTTGCAGCTCCAAGGCAATTGGGATTGCAGCTCCGTGGGTTTGGGATTTGCAGCTCCATGGGGTTGGGGTTGCAGCTCCAGGGGAAATTGGGGTTGGGGCTGCAGCCCCTCCAGGGGCTGGGTGGAGCTGCAGACAGCTCCAGGCACTGGAGGCCCCTGGGCAGCCCAGGCTGTGCGTGGGGCTCTCTGGGCAGGGCTGGTGTGTGCCTGAGCTCTGGCTCTGATAAGCCAGGCTGTGTGAGGAGGCTCTGACCTGCTGGGGCCAGCCTGCCCCGGGGCTGGGTCAGGGCAGGGACACAGCCTGGAGCGTGGCCAGTGCTGCTCTGGGCTTTCCTGCCAGGCTTTGGAGGGCAGAGAGGGGAAGGGAGCAGGGCAGATCCCAGCCAGTGTCCCACTGTAACCTCAGGGGGGTGGATTTCCTGACTCCCCCAATTCCCAGCCCTCCTCCAGAGCATTCCCAGCCATCCCCCTGATTCCCAGCCCTCCTCCAGAGCATTCCCAGCCATCCCCCTGATTCCCAGTCCTCCTCCAGAGCATTCCTCTCCTCCAGCCCGTTCCCAGCCCTCCTCCAGCCCATTCCCAGCCCTCCTCCAGCCCGTTCCCAGCCATTCCCCCAATTCCCAGCCTGCTCCCCAGGCTCTGGGTACAATTAAGGCTTTTTGAGCCCCTGTAAAAGTGATCGAGGCAGAGCCCCAGCTGTGCCACAGAGCCCAGTGGGATGGGGAGTGCTGGATCCTCTCCTGGCAGGTGCTGAGCTGGACCAGGGCAGGAGGGAATTGCAGAGCCCTCCCCATCTGCCCTGATGGATGGGGAGTGGAACTCTTAAATAAAGCCCTGGGGCTGGGGCAGGACTGCTCTGGGCAAGGCTTTGAGGTCCCCAAGGGACCCAAAATCCCTCAGGGAGTGGGGCTGAGGATTCCAGCCTGGCCCTAGCTGGGTGTGAGGGAGGGCAGGGAAGGGTTAACCAGCCCCTCCTGGCAGCAGAGTGCCTCCCCAGGCTGCTCACACACCTTTGGAGGTGCCAGTGCTCAAAGCCTGGGGCTTCCCCTCCCTCTTTCCCTCCCAAAGGCCAAAGCCAGTGGAAAGAAGCTGCAGAAGGTGACCCTGAAGGTGTCACCCCGGGGGATTGTGCTCAGGGACAGCAGGACCAACGAGCTCATCGAGAACATCTCCATCTACAGGTGGGTGCTGGCTGCTCTCCTGTGCCCCAGGACTCTCCTCTGGCCTGTTCTTCACCCCTGGCTGCTGCACAGGGCTGGGGAGGCTCCAGGGAGGAGGCTGAGCCTTCCTCCCACATCCCCTGAGCTCAGGGAGCTTGGAGCAAATCCCACACCTGGATCCCAGCCTGGGCACCCCTGCATCAGCTCCTGTCCCTGCCTTGAGGCTGAGGATGAAATCCCAGGCTGAGAACAGCTCCTTTCTCCTTCCTCACCCTCCAGGGAAAGCCTGAGCCAGCCTCTCTCCTGGAGGCAGAGCAGTGTGAGGTGCTGCTCTGCTGGAACCTCCCCTTCTCTAGCCTGTCCTGTCCCACAGTGTGAAAAAAACCCCAACATTTCTTCTTCTCTTCTCTCTTCTGCCACCTCTCCTCGTGCTGCCCGTGGATCTCACTCCCTGCCATCCCCTGGAGCCATCCCCTGAGCTGGGCAGCTGCTGCTGCAGCCCCAGCAGCTTGTGGGGCTGTCCCCAGAGCCCAGCCCGGGCTGTGCTGTGTCTTTCAGGATCTCCTACTGCACAGCAGACAAGGCCCACGACAAAGTGTTTGCCTACATTGCCCAGAGCCAGCTGAGCGAGAGCCTGGAGTGCCACGCCTTCCTGTGCACCAAGAGGAAGATGGTCAGTGAGGAAGAGGAGGGGCTGCAGGGCTGGGAGGAGGGCTCAGGCACAGCTCATCCCAGCTGGAATGGGGCTGGCTCCGTGCCTTGGCTGCTGGAAACCTCTCTGGGGTGAGGCTGGGAGGGGGTGACCCTGCACCAGGGCCTGGAGAGCCTTGCCCTGCTGCAGCCCTGCCCTGGCACCTCCTGAGCCCCCTGGGCACCTCCTGGGCATCTCCTGAGCCCTGCCCTGGGCACCTTCTGAGCTCCCTGGGCATCTCCTGAGCCCCTGGGCATCTCCTGAGCCCTCCCCTGGCACCTCCTGAGCCCCTGGGCATCTCCTGCTGGGCACCTCCTGGGCATCTCCTGAGCCCTGCCCTGGCACCTCCTGAGCCCCCTGGGCACCTCCTGGGCATCTCCTGAGCCCTGCCCTGGCACCTCCTGAGCCCTTGGGCACCTCCTGGGTACCACCTGAGCCCCCTGGGCATCTCCTGAGCCCTGCCCTGGGCACCTTCTGAGCTCCCTGGGCATCTCCTGAGCCCTGCCCTGGCATCTCCTCAGGCCTTGGACACCTCCTGGGCACCTCCTGAGCCCTGCCCTGGCATCTCCTGAGCCCTTGGACACCTCCTGGGCACCTCCTGAGCCCTGCCCTGGACACCTCCTGAGACCCTGGGCAGGGAGGGTTGGGCAGGAGGTGCCCAGGGCACCCAGCCCCAGCTCCCTGCAGAGTTTTAGTGACATCTCTGGGGCTGTGTCCTGCCCTGCCCTGGGGCCCAGAGCAGGGGCCTGGCAGTGGGAAGGGCTCTGGGCTGAGCTCTGACCCTCCTGGCACCTCTCCCTGCTCACCCCATGCCCCAGCATGGGAAGGGAGCTGGAACAGAGAGAGGAGAGGGGCAAGGAGAGCCCTGGGGTGTCTGGTGGAGCAGAGCTGGCACTGAGCCCCCTCCCCGTGCCACGAGGGGAGAGGAAGGGCAGGTGAGACCCCTGTGCCCCCCAAATCCTTCCCTGGTGTCCCAGACCCCTCTGAGGCCACTCCCAGCCTGGTCCTCAGCAGCATCCCCGTGCCACCCCAGCTCTGTTAATATTCTCTGCCTCTCCCAGCTCCTTTTCTTCCCTTGGAGAGAAGAATGGGAGCTACAAGTTGTCTCTCCTTTGCTCAGTGTGTGCTCCCATCCTTGCACGGCCAAGATAAGCCTGGCTCTGCAAATTAAAATTTAAATCTTCCTGCTGCTAAAAGAATTATCTCAGTGCTGCATCAGCTCAGTGCATCCCCCTCCAAATAAAGTTCTCCAAAGGCTTTTGTGGCAAAAACTAGGAATAATTTCCTTTTTCCTGCTCTGTAAAATGCAGGAACATCCTGCTGCTGAGGTGATCCCTGCTCCCAGACTGGAGGCAGCCCTCCCCAGGGCAGGGGCCCTGGGTGCACCACAGCTCCCAGTCACAGGCATATAATTAGTCCATATTTTTAGTTCCTGGGTAATTCTCGACAGTAGCTGGGTCTATTAAACTTGATTCAGATGTGACAGCCTAAATTGTAAACAGCTGTGAGGAGTTTCATACTTAATTACCATATTTAAGGGTTTTTTTTTTTTTTTGCCATCAAGCATTTGCACTTCCATCAAGGATGTAAATAGCTCCAAGATTCCAAGAGCTCCAGCCTTAATTGGCACTGCTGGCTCTGGGGGGCTCTGTGCCCCCCTGCCTGGCTTTGGGGGGTGCTGTGCCCTGTCTGTGTCCCCCCATGCCCCTGGGGCTGCCAGGGCAGCAGCTCCAGCCCCGGGGTTGGCTTTGTTGTGATCACAGCTGGGGAAAGGAAACCCAGCCTGGAGGCTCGGGGAGTGGGGGCATGGGCTGTCCTGGGGCTGGAGCTGCTCCTGAGCTCTGTCTGTCCCTGCTGGAGGTGGCACCTCTGCCCCTGGCACCTCTGTCCCTGCTGTTGGTGGCACTTCTGCTCCTGTTGTTGGTGGCATTTCTGCCCTGCTAGAGGTGACACCTCTGTCCTTGCTGTTGGTGGCACCTCTGTCCCTGCTGTTAGTGGCATTTCTGTTCCTGCTGGAGGTGGTAGCATCTCTGTCCCTGCTGGTTCCTCAGCAGCCCTGTCCCTGTCCCCTGTCCCGGTCCCAGCCCTGTTCCCTGTCCCCTTGTCCCTGCCCTCCTGGCTCCCGGGGACGTGTCCCACCCGGAGCAGCCCCAGCTCTGCAGGGTTTGGTGGCTCTGCCAGCTCCTGCTCAGAGCCAGGGGAGCTGCAGCTGCACAGGTGGCAGAGATCTCAGGGCCTTCAGTGATTGATCTCAGTGATTGCAGTGACTGATCTCAGGGGCTTCAGTGATTTCAGAGGTCTCAGTGATTGATCTCAGTAATTTCAGTGATCTCAGTGATGTCATTGATCTCAGTGGTTTCAGTGATCTCAGTGATGTCATTGATCTCAGTGGTTTCAGTGATCTCAGTGATGTCATTGATCTCAGTGGTTTCAGTGATTTCAGTGACTGATCTCAGTAATTTCAGTGATTGGTTTCAGAGATCTCAGTGATTTCACTATCTCAGTGATGTAAGTGAATGATCTCAGTGATTTCAGAGGTCTCAGTGATGTCATTGATCTCAGTGGTTTCAGTGATTTCAGTGACTGATCTCAGTAATTTCAGTGATTGGTTTCAGAGATCTCAGTGATTTCACTATCTCAGTGATGTAAGTGACTGATCTCAGTGATTTCAGAGGTCTCAGTGATGTCATTGATCTCACTGATTTCAGTGATTGATCTCAGTGATCTCATTGATCTCACTAATTTCAGTGATCTCAGAGGTTTCAGTGATTGATCTCAGTGATGTCATTGATGTCAGTAATTCCAGTGACTGATCTCAGTGATGTCAGAGGTTTCATTAATTGATCTCATTGATCTCAGTGATGTCAGAGGTTTCAGTGACTGATCTCAGTGATGTCAGTGATGTCAGTAATTCCAGTGACTGATCTCAGTGATGCCAGAGGGCTCAGCCTGTCCTGCTGTGTGTCCCCAGGCCCAGGCTGTCACCCTCACCGTGGCCCAGGCCTTCAGGATCGCCTTTGAGTTCTGGCAGGCAGCCAAGGAAGGTGAGTTTGTGTCCCTGCCCTGCTCACCCTCAGGGCTCACTCTGGTGCTCCCCTTCCCCTGCCTCCCCAATTCCAGGTTTCTTTGCACAGCTCTGTAGGTCCAGGCAGGTTTTGGCTGTGCTCCTGTCCTGCAGGAGCTCCCTGGGGGTTTCATGGTGGGCTTTCAGCTTTCACCTTCCAGGAGGTGCCAGCAGCACCACGGCTGGCCCTGGCCCTGTCCCTGGCCCTGGAGGCTTGCAGGCAGTGCTGGGATTTCCTCTTTTGCAGAGAAGGAGAAGAGGGAAAGATCCATCCTGGCAGCAGAAGGGACGAGCAGCCCTGGCTCAGGAGCTCCTGCCCACCCTGTCACACGTGAGCCACCAGGGCAGAGCCTGAGGGGGGGAGACTGTCCCTGAGGGGTGGAGAATTGTCCCTGAACAGCACAGGGATGTTCCTGAGGGATGGGGGACAGTCTCTGGGCAGGGCAAAGGACACCCTGAGGGATGGGGACTTGTCCCTGAGGGATGTGGGACTGTCCCTGGGCAGGGCAAAGGACACCCTGAGGGATGGGGGATGTCCCTGAGGGATGTGGGATTGTCCCTGAGGGATTGGGGGATGTCCCTGAGGGATGGGGGATGTCCCTGACAGGGCAGGGGACAGCCTGAGGGATTGTCCCCAGACACAAACAGCTCCTGGCAGGGTTCTGAAGCCAGGAGGAGCAGCAGTTCAGAGTCCTTGGCTGCCAGCTGGGAGCTGCCTGCTCCCCCCAGGCATCCCCTGCTGCCACCCCAAATCTGTTTGCTCCTGCCCCAGGCAAATTGGCTGTGATGTCCTTAAGAGCTCAGCCTGGCTCTGCAGGTCCCCAGCTCAGTCTTGGGGCTGTGTCAGACCCCAGACCCTCACCCTGCCCTGGGCTGAGGGGGGAGGACAGCCTGGTGCCCCTGAGCAAGGGGAGGTGTGTGAAATAAAGCAATTAAATCCCAAATCCCTCCCAATTCAGGGCTGGCCCTGGCTCCTCTGCTGCCTCTGAGGTGCAGGGCAGGGAGAAGTGGGGCAAAAGGCTCATCCCTCCCCGTGCTGGCCACAAGATAAGAGGATTTGGCACGCAGAAAAACAGCAGCAAACTGGGCTCTCTTCCAGGCTGGCACGTCCTGAGATTCCTCAGCCCTGGAGGAATCTCTCCCAAAGGGTGGCACCGTGGCATCAGCCCAGCCTGGGGCTGGGATGAGCTCCACATCTCCCTGGGGGTGCCAGAGCTGGGCTGCTCCTGCCCCAGCCCAGTGCAGGCTGCAGGGGAGGCTCTGGGCTGCACCCAGGGCAGGGTTTGCCCTCAGTGTAAAACCCTGCTGCAGCTCTGGGCTCAGCTGAGGGGCTGCTCTGGCCCTGGGGCTCACCCTGAGCATCACTGGGCACCCAGGAGCCTTCCCAAAAGCTGCTGGAGGCACTGGGATTCCCTGACCTGCCTCAAGCACAGCCCCCAGAGGGGTGGGTGCAGCTCCCCAGTGCCCATTCCTCTCCCCTCACTGCCCCCTCTGCTCTGCCCACAGCAGCAGCCTTGGGGAACTTGCTGGATTTTGAGGACCCTGGCAGCAGCACGGAGTCCCCAGAGCTGGACAACAGCAGCTTTGGGCCCAGCCCCTCGGTCAACAACAACGTGCTGTGGGTAAGGGACAGCCAGGAGAGCCCCAGCTGCCCCCCAGGGCTGAACTGGGGGCTCTGGGGGGCTCTGGGGGGCTCTGGGAGGTGTCACAGCTCCAGGAGTGTTCGGTGCTTGGGGGATGAATGAGCAGCATGGCCAAGCCCTGTGAGATAATTGGATATTCCTGCTCTGGAGCAGCATTTCTCAGGGGTTTGTCACTGAACTGGCAGCACCCAGCTGCTCTGTCCAGGGGCAGGAATCAGTGCCTTGGTGGCTCCTGGTCCCTGCTCACCAAACCCAGCCTAGAGCCTGTGGTTCTTCCTGTTTCCCTGTCTGTGGGAGCTGGGATGGCTCCTTGGGAATGTCCTCAGTCCCCTGGGTTAATTTTTAATTAATGTTTCCTGGATCTCTGAGAGAAGAGTGGTGCTGCAGCCCTGGGTGTGCACCCAGCAGGAGCCCAGTGCTCCATCATCCCCCTCTGCCTGGGACACGGTGGGGTTACTGGGATTTTGGGAAGGAATTCCTGGCTGGGAGGGTGGGCAGGCCCTGGCACAGGTGCCCAAGAAGCTGTGGCTGCCCAGGGTCCCTGCCATGGCAGGGGGGGGGTTTAAGGGATTTCCCTTCCCAGCCAAACCCTTCCATGGTTCTGTGACCCCCAGGCAGGCTGGGGCTGGCCCTTGAAGCCCCTCTTGCCCTGGAGTCTCTCCCCAGCACAGCCCCTCCCTGGAGACCCCTGCCTGCTGGATTTTGGGGGGCTGCAGGGTAAATTGCAGCCTGAGGCTTTCCAGGTTAAAGCTGAAGATCAGCCCTAAGGCTGAACCAAATCCTGGAGGCTTCTCAGCAATCTCCAATCCCTCCCTGCCTGCAGAGTTCTCATACTTGACTTATTAATTGCATTAATTGCATTGAGGCTGTAGGTTCCTCACAGGATTTTGGGAGCAGCCTGCTCTGGCTGCAGCAGGGCCCTCACACAGAGCATGGAAAAACTTTCTCCCAGTGCTTTCCTGGAAACCCTGGCAGCAGGGCAGAGACACAGGCTCCCAGAGCTGCTCTTCCTGTCCCTGCTGTGCCAGTGCAGAGCTGCTCTCCTGGTCCTGGTCCTGGTCCTGGTCCAGGTCCAGAGCAGCCCCAGGGCTCCTGGAGCTGTGCCCAGCCCCTCTGGCAGCAGGACAGGCAGGGCTGGGGCAGTGAGGGGTGCTGGTTTCCATCTCCTGGATGGAGCTGGAGGCAGAGTCAGCTTTTTGGGGGATGGAAGGAAGGGCCAGGCCCCAGCACCACCTGGAGTTCACCTTTCCCCTGCAGAGCAGGCAGGCTGCAGAGGAGGTGACTGAGGCACTCACAATCCAACAGACACAGATATTTTTCTGTCTGAGTGCAGAGCCAGATCTCTAAACACACTTCTGTGCAGTTCTCTTAGCAACTACTTGTCTCTCTTTTTATCCCTTCACGAAGGAGATGGATGATGGGCTGGACGAGGCGTTCTCAAGGTAATTCTCATCCTCCCTGGAGCAGCCCCGGAGGCCTGGCTGCTCCTAATGCTCCTTCATCTCATCAGGGCTCTGCTCTGACCTGGGCAGCTGCCCATTGAAGCTTTAAGGCTGCCTGAGAAGCCAAATATTTTGACGACCTTTTAAGGATGGTCAGAGGCTGTGTGTGATGGGGAGTTTAACTCCCCAAGAGTTGCTGGGTCTGCTCCCACTCACCCAGGCTTTTCCAGGCTGCTGCTCCCAGCTTCTGGCACTGGGGGCTTTGCTCTTCCTCATCCCACACGTTCAGGGTGTGTGGCCACCAGCTCATGGGTTTATTCCCCTTTCCACTCCAAATTAAAGCTGCCCTGCCCGTGCTGCTGAGCAATCCAGCACAGCCAAACAAACGCCTTTCCTCTCAGCTGGGTTTGCCTCCCTGTCCTGGCAGGGCTGCTGTGGTTTTGTGTGGGTGCCATCCTCCTCTTCCTCCTCCTCTTCCTCCCCCTGGGGCTGGGAGGTGCTGGAGGAGGGAGCGAGGCAGGAGAAGGCTTTCAGCAGTTCCTGCTCAGCCCTTGGGCTCCTGTTTGGCTCTCAGGGATGATTTACAGCCTGCCCTTGCCCAGCTCCTCGTCCCAGGCTGGGCTGGTTTGTGTCCTGGTGTCTGCCCTGCCCCAGTGGCTCAGATGAGCTTGGCTTTGGGCCCTGCTCTGCATTGCTGAGCTCCACATCACCCTGGGCCCTCTGCTGACTCAGAGTTTGGGCTGCTCATCCTGCAGCACTCCCAAAGCCATTCCTGCCACATCAGCACCGCTGCACGTGTCCCTTCTTTATCAGAACCTGGGGCTTGGTCTCAGGCTGGTTCTGACCTTGTGCAGCCCCAAATGCCTGAGCTGACCTCCAGCCCCAGCGCTGCGGAATTTCACCGTGCCCTTTAAATCACGCAACAACAAACTGGGGCTGCTTGGGTTTTGTGAAACATCCAGGATGAAAAGCTCTTCCAGCTGATCCTGGGGCTGTCCTGGGGCAGGGACAGCCTCAGCAGCAGAGCTCAGTCTGCTCTGGGGCTGGGAGCAGCTCGGGGAGGAGAGCCCAGGGATGGTCCAGCTCACATTCCCGGGATGCCTGCAGGGGAAGGCAGCAGCACTGGGGCTGCTGGGGATGCTCTGGGCCAGCTCCCCTGGAGCCTTTCCCCTTTTCCTGAGCTTTTCCATCCCACGGGAGGGTGCTGGAACGGGGGGCTGCAGCAGGAGTGGAACCACTGCTCTGTGCTTTGCTCTGTATGGCTCTGGGTTTGTTTTACTCTGTGCTTTCCTCTGTGCATTACTCTGTGCTTTACTCTGTTTCTGTTTTATTCTGTGTTTTACTCTGTGGGAAGGCAGCAGCACTGGGGCTGCTGGGGATGCTCTGGGCCAGCTCCCCTGGAGCCTTTTCCCTTTTCCTGAGCCTTTCCATCCCACGGGAGGGTGCTGGAACGGGGGGCTGCAGCAGGAGTGGAACCACTGCTCTGTGCTTTGCTCTGTATGGCTCTGGGTTTGTTTTACTCTGTGCTTTACTCTGGGTTTGTTTTACTCTGTGCATTCCTCTGTGTTTATTTTACTCTGTGTTTTACTCTTTTTCTCTGTGCATTACTCTGTGCGTTACTTTCTGTTTATTTTACTCTGTGTATTACTCTGTTTTACTCTGCTTTACTGTGTGTTTTCCTCTGTGTTCATTTTCCTCTGTGTTTATTTTCCTCTGTGCTTTCCTCTGTGCATTTCTCTGTGTTTGTTTTACACTGTGCATTTCTCTGTTTGTTTTTCTCTGTGCATTACTCTGTGCATTGCTCTGTTTTTCTCTGTGTTTTACTCTGTGCATTGCTCTGTTTCTTTTACTCTCTGTTTTACTCTGTCATTGCTCTCTTTGTTTTTCTCTGTGTTTTACTCTGTGCATTTCTGTGTTTGTTTTACTCTCTGTTTTACTCTGTGCATTGCTCTCTTTGTTTTTCTCTGTGTTTTACTCTGTGTATTACTCTGTGCATTCCTTTGTGTGTGTTTTTCTCTGTGCATTACTCTGTGCATTCCCGTTTCTCTTTTACTCCGTGCCTCACTCTGTTCTTTCACTCCGTGTTTTACTCTTTATTCACTGTTCCCCCGTGTCTGTGTCCCTCAGGCTGGCCCAGTCGAGGACAAACCCTCAGGAGCTGGACACGGGGCTGTCAGCGCAGGACATGCAGCGCGCGCAGGCGCTGTCCCCGCTGGGCTGGGCGCAGCTGGAGCCCGGCACGGCCGAGCAGGACGATGTGCTCCTGTTCTGAGGGCACACAGAACCACTCCGAGCCCTGCTGTGAGCAGGGAGCCCTCCCAGGGCTCCTCAGCAGCTCCGAGGGTGCCACAGCCCAGTTCAGACCAAAGCTTCGGAAACCTAACGCGGATTTTTGTACCTTGCTTTCACCTAAACCACGAGATGCTCTTGGACCTATTTACTCACGGTTTACAAGCGTTCCTGGGAGGTGTGGAGAGCATCTGTGTGCCACGGGGGGATCTGCAGGGCCTGTTCCTCCTGCAGGCAGCCTGGGCACCAGCAAAGCCCCCCTGAGCATCCCCCAGCCAGGGCTGGGGCGCAGACACAGCTCTGAGTGTCACTGATCCACCCAGCCTGGAAGAACTCAGCACTGCCTGCCGGGGAGGGGGTTTGCAGCAGCTGCTGACAGTGTGAAATCAAAGAGGGAGCAGAGCTGGTGCTTTTGTGCCCCTGCCTGTGGCACTCCCACGGCTGTCAGTCACCCCACGGCTCCTGTGGGGATTGACGCTTTTTAACCCAAAGACTCAAAGAAGTTTTGCACTTTAAAACTTGAACTGAAAGCAACGGTCCGAATTGTCAAGGTAAGCAGTGCCTGGAACCTCTCCTCAGAAGCTATTTACCCAAAAAGAACCACCCTGGCAATGCTGCAGCTCTGACCCCTCACCTCTGATGGGACTCGAGATCCCAAAGCTCCGTTGGCTTTAAAAGCAAAACCACCAGGGAGGGAGGAAGGATTTGTTTTGTTCAATCCTGCTGGAAAGGGCGGCTCGGGAGGACCAGCAGGAGCACAGATCCACGTCCCCAGCTTGGCCCAGCAGGTTTGTTTGTCCAGGACTTGCTCCAGCCTCAAATCCACGTGGCTGTTGCCCAGTGGATGGGATGGGGTCGGGCAGGGGCAGCACCTGGCTGCCCAGCTGGCACAGGTGCCCCTGCCAGTGGTGCTCCCACCCTTCTCCTGCCAGCCACAGCTCCCAGGGGGCTCAGGAAGCTCCATCTACCCCTGGGACTGAAAACCAGCCATGGAGGTACAACTTCTGCTAAGTACAAGATTAGGTTTAACGATCCTGAATAGTCTCACTGACACCTCGCAGTGTTTGTGGCCTTAAGTGAAGTGTACTAATCTGTTTTATAGATTTGTAACTTGGGTTTGAAGCACTAATTCATTCCCCAGATAGCTCTTTAGAACTCCCTTAAAACTGCTCACAGAAAGGAAAAAAAAACCCTCTCAGTCAGCTGTAAGAATTCATTAGGAGGCAGCTGAGTTGCTCTGACTTAGAATTGAGATATTTTTTCCCCCCAAGTGTGAGTGTGAGAAGGTGTTGAGGACTCGTGGAGCTGACTCACCGGTCTCTGGTGGAACCTGGGCTCTGTGGGCTCTCAGAGTGCTGTTCAAGCACTTCCACATCCTGCAAGGGCTGTGTCTCCTGGATGCTCCTGGGCTGGAAGGGAGCAGCAGAGCTCTGCTCCAGCTCAGGGAGCTCTGCCCTGCCCAGGAACCTGGGAGGATTCCTCTGCTTTGACCTCTCTCCTTCCCTGGAGCAGCAATTCCTGAAGTTCACAACACTAGCTATGTGTGTCTAGAGTTTTGTTTGTTTTTTTTTTTTTTTTTTTTAAGAAAACCTGATGCTGTAAAGAATATTCTGCACTGAGGGGAATAAAAACTGCCATTTTTTGGAGCCTGTGTGCTGGGTGATTTATTTCCCCTGTGGTTCCTTTTGTGTCTCTGGGGGGTGCCTGGGTCCTGCCTGTCCCTGCTGCAGGGCAGGTGGGGTCAGAAATCTGGGATCAGAAAGGTGGGATCAGAAATCTGAGATCAGAAAGGTGGGATCAGAAATCTGGGATCACAAAGGTGGGATCACAAAGGTGGGGTCACAAAGCTGGGATCAGAAAGGTGGGACCAGAAATCTGGGATCACAAAGGTGGGATCAGAAATCTGGGATCACGAAGGTGGGATCAGAAAGGTGGCATCACAAAGGTGGGATCAGAAATCTGGGATCACAAAGGTGGGGTCACAAAGGTGGGATCAGAAAGGTGGGATCAGAAAGGTGGGATCACAAAGGTGGGATCAGAAAGGTGGGACCAGAAATCTGGGATCACAAAGGTGGGATCAGAAATCTGGGATCACAAAGGTGGCATCACAAAGGTGCTGGGCAGTGATTCCAGGGGGCTCAGCTGGACACTGAGCCCTGCTCTGGTCAGTGTCAGCTCCTTCCTCTGACTCCTCAGGGTTCAGGGCTGAAGTTGGTTTCTTCTGATAAGGGAGCAATAAATTCTCTTTCTCTGAAAGATTTAGGTGTCCTGTGGCTGCTGTTTGGTGAGAGCACCTCGTTCCTTTCTTTAAAAAAATATCCCACATACATAGTTTTATTTTAACATTCTGTTATAACCTGAAACTATATTTAACACACTACTTAAGGAAATTAATACAGCATAACTTTCTAACATAACACATACAATATTCATTTTAATATTTGCAAAAAAACAACCACCAATCATAAAATACACATTTTTCACACTGGGGCAGGGAGGGAGCCCAGGGCTGGGATTGTTCACCTGTGCCAGCAGAGCAGTGCCAGCTGTGCCACCAGGGCTGTGCCACCTTTCCTGCCCGGTGTGACCAGCAGCAATGTCACTGTCCCCTCAGCAGAAGGGCAAGGGCAGGCTGTGAGCACACACCCTGTCGGGGTTTGGCTCTGAACCCCCTCTTTTATCACTCAGGCAGCTCTTACAGCTGGGGAAACACCCCTGAGGAGGGAGAAGATGGATTTTAAAAGCTTGGCTTTAAGGGCCACAGGCCAAGGCTCCTGTCCTGGCTGAGGGAGAGGGGTGGGAAGAGCACTGCTGGCATGGAGCAGACACCCAGCTGGGGCTGCAGGGCCAGAGAAAAGCAGGATTTGGACACCAAAATACTCCCCCAACCTCGTTTGCCCCAAACTTTTCCATCCTCGGCTCTGTTTTGGAGTCACAGGGGAGGTGTCTGGGGGATTTTCCTTCCTCTCCCTTCTACCAGACACCACAAACCCCACATCTCTGACTTTCTGCCTCCAAGGAGTTTGTTTTTCACCTTCCCAGCCCTCCCCATCAGCAGTTCCCTCCTCAGCAAACACTCCAGCCTCCACAGCAGGCTCTCCCCAGCGCTCCCTGCCAGCCACAGCCGCAGTTTCTGTCTCAGCTGCTCCAGTCCCACGGGTGGCAACACCACTCCAGGCAAAGATTTTGCCTAAAAGCCTGGCAAGGGATCCTGTGCAGGGAGTTCTATTTGCCTGGTACCTCCGTGTTTGCATCTGCCCGCGCTGGTGCTGCTGGAAAACCCCAGACTGCAGCTGGGCAGGGCTTGGCTGGGCTCTGAGCCCGTCCTGCTGCCCTGCTCCAGGGTGACATCCAGGGTGACATCCAGGGTGACATCCCAGGGTGACATCCAGGGTGACAGCCCAGCTCCCAGGGTGACATCCAGGGTGACATCCAGGGTGACATCCAGTGTCACATCCCTGCTCCCAGGGTGACATCCAGTGTCATATCCCAGCCCCCAGTGTCACAGCTCTGCTCCCAGGGTGGCATCCAGTGTGACATCCCTGCTCCCAGGGTGACATCCCAGTGTCACAGTCCTGCTCCCAAGGTGACATTCAGTGTCACATCCCTGCTCCCAGGGTGACATCCAAGGTGACATCCTTGCTCCCAGGGTGACAGCCCAGCTCCCAGGGTGACATCCAGTGTCATATCCCAGCCCCTAGTGTCACAGCCCAGCTCCCAGGGTGGCATCCAGGGTGACATCCAGTGTCACAGCCCTGCTCCCAGGGTGACATCCCAGCTCCCAGGGTGACATCCCAGGGTCACAGCCCTGCTCCCAGGGTGACATCCCAGGGTGACATCCACTGTCACAGCTCTACTCCCAGTGTCACATCCCTGCTCCCAAGGTGACATTCAGTGTCACATCCCTGCTCCCAGGGTGACATCCAGTGTCATATCCCAGCTCCCAGTGTCACAGCCCTGCTCCCAAGGTGACATTCAGTGTCACAGTCCAGCTCCCAGTGTCCCATCCCCTCTCCCAGTGTCCCATCCCAGTGTCACACCCCAGTGCCCCATCCCCTCTCCCAGTGTCCCATCCCAGTGTCACACCCCAGTGCCCCATCCCCTCTCCCAGTGTCCCATCCCAGTGTCACACCCCAGTGCCCCATCCCCTCTCCCAGTGTCCCATCCCCACTCCCAGTGTCACACCCCAGTGTCCCATCCCCTCTCCCAGCCTGTCACCAGGCCCTGCCACGAGCCACGAGCCCCAGGTCTAATTAACAGAACAAATGAGTAAAGGAATTAAATCTGCTCCGAAGTGGCAATTTTATCACTTCTCCAGCTCTGCCACAGCACGAGTAAAACTGACAGCAAGGAATAAAACAGTTGCGTCCCTGGCATTTTTTATTACTTTTAATGTGCTTTTTTTTTTTGGTGAGTTACTGGAAATTTAAATTATAATGGTATGCTTCACTTAAAGAAAGTATCCATAGCAACAGGAACATCTGAATTATTGCAGGCTGATCACTTCTCTGCTGGAGTCACATCACACGCCTTCCAAGGCAGTCCCAGAGGTGCAGGATTTTAATAGACTTTTTTTTTTTTACCTTTTTTTTTGCAAATAAACAAGCGAACACACAGCACTTTCTCCATCAGTGCAGTACCTACAGAGAGATCCAAAGTGAGCAAGAGAGGAGGGGCTCCAGGCTTGAATCAGACTTTCTCCTCTGAGTCAGTGCTTATTCCGTGTGAAACTGGGGATTTCTGTCCACTTCAGCTGCTGGAAATTCTCTTGGACCAGGAGAAAGCAGCAAGGGAAGATCACTGAGCCTGCTTGAATCTTGTTTGATTCTCATCTGGCCATGGGTTTATTTCTATTCTATTATTTCCAAATTCCTGCTTGACAGGACAAAGGGGAAGGGGTTAAAGCTCAAAGAAAGAGGGATTAGATTAAATATTAGGGAGAAATCCCTCCCTGTGAGGGTGGGCAGGCCCTGGCACAGAGGAGCTGGGGCTGCCCCTGGGTCCCTGGCAGGTCCCTGGCACAGTGGGAGGTGTCCCTGCCCACCCAGGGGTGGGAATGAGATGATTTTTAAGGTCCCTTCCCTCCCAAACCATTCCATGATCCCCAAAAAACACCTTCAGCAGCTAATTGGCATTTGAAAGACGATGGCTGAGAGAACCCCCAGGTATTTTGCTTCCACCATCGCTGACTTTTGGGCTGGAGCAGTCACAGCTTTCCACTTTTAAAACATTTTAAAACACTTTAATCACGGCAAAAGCTTGAGTGATGCACGCTCCGAGCTGTCACACGTGAGAAACAAACTCCCTGGGAGAGACAGAAAGGCTGTTTTTCAAATTCCAATCTCAATTATAGGAATCAAATGCGTCATCTGGATCAATGGTAGGTTGAGATTGCTCAGCCAGAAAGAGTTCAGATATAAAAAGCTGCAGCTGAGAGGCTTCCTAGAAGCTCATGTATTATTGCAAGAGAAATGATGACAGTGAGCCATGCTTGCAGCGTCCCTCGGACAGCTCAGGGGAAGAACAGGGTTTTAATCAGAGTCCTGAGTGTAGGAGCAGGATCTGAGCCCAGGAACATCTGATCCTGGCCAGGAGCAGCAGGGATTTGCCTTTGATGTCCCCTGGTTGTCACTGCCCTGTGGAACACTGCCAGCTCACCGTGTCCTGCATGTCTGCCACTCGTGCAGCTCTGTGTGCAGAGAACCTGCAAATGACAGGGGAATGAGGCAGCCCGAAGACACATGAAATATTTCTGACCATTTAACCCTTCCAGAACAAGAGCTGGCGTGCAGAGAAGCGGCTGTGGCTTGGCCAGCCCAAAGGAAAATGCTCAAAAAATAGGAAAAAGGTGTCAGAATTCTTTGGGTGGTTGGGTTTGTTTGTAAGGGAGGCTGGAGGAGGCTCCATGCCCATGGAAAAGGAGGATCTGCAGCTTTTGGGGTTATCAGGGTGACAGCAGGGAGGCAGTGACAGGAGCCAGGTGCATCCTCTGTCAGCGACTGTCAGACCAACTTGGCTTCACGTGTGAGTCAAAAACAGCCAGAGCACAGAAGGTGGGTGGTGGAAGAGGGATGAGAATGATGCAAAAAAAATCTGCTGGACCTGCAGATCCGGCTCAGGTTTGAAAATCCCAGCTCCTGTGAAATCACCTGCTCATAAAGAGCCTGCAGCAGGAACCTGTAATTTCGTGGTTGGTGCATGAGCCAGAGGATGATCCAGCTGACTCTGGCAGAGCTTTATTGGAGCTGTGGTCAGCTGGAGTCAGGGACATTTACTGAGCGTGGAGCAGCAGAAGCTCCCAGCCCTGCCCTGCAGAGCCAGGCACAGAGCTGGGGCTGGCACTGCCCAGGCTCAGCTCCCTCCCAGCTCTTCCACTCCAGGTCAGGTCTCTGTACCCACAGCTTCCCCAAATGCACCTTCCCACCTCTCAGAGGAACCAGATAAATCCCAAAGCCACGGCTGCAGGCTCTGGAGGGGATCTGTCACCCACGGTGTGCCTGTGCTGCTCTGCTGCAGATTTGCTTCTTGAGCCGGGCCAGATTTGATCCTTGGCATTTATGTCTGAGGCTTTGATGG